AGGGTTGATGGGGGGTGGAAGGGAGGGGAGGGGAGGTGATGGGTATTGAAGAGGGCACCTTTTGGGATGAGCACTGGGTGTTGTATGGAAACCAATTTGACAATAAATTTCATATATTAAAAAAAAAGAAGAACATGGATCCAAGTGGGTAAAGCATAAAGACCCACTCTGCTGCTTTGATTTCTAGAGTGTGTACATTTCATTAAAGGTGGGGGACAGAGGTGGGACTATTCTCTGTGGGAGAGGCTTTGCTAATAGCGGTAATACTATCAGTCTGGTTTGTTAACACTTTTTAATGAAGGTGCTGGTATATCCTTAGCCAGTTTCAGTTCAAAGTCTTGCTTAAATGTCTCTTAACTTTACTCTACCATCCCACTCAGCCGGCCCTACCCCTGAGTGAAGCCCTTGTCATCTCTGACCTGGACTTACAACAACTGCCTGCCTCCAGTCTCGCCGTACCAAAGGAGCCACCAGGAAATAGAGTGATATACGCCAAAAACAAAGTCAGTGTGTTGGCTCCATTGAAGTTTTCTCATGTAGCTTTCAAACTCCTCCATACCCTGGCCCCACCCCACCAGGCAAATTACCAGCCACACCAGCCATAAGCCGGCTACACGTCCCCACTTACAGATTCACCATAGACACAGCATTCCCTTTATAACCCTTTGCTACAGCAGGCTACTGGTTGGTCCCCACAGCCCACTCTTCCCCTTTTCATCTTATTAAAAATATATTTTTCCCTTTTCCCGCCACACCCCTCCGCCATCATTCCTCTGAAGCTAGATTTGGCCACACGTCTGTTCTCAAAGCCAGCAGCAGAATGTAGGAGGAAGACAGGTGTGCAACTTCTGCCTCACTTGGCTAAAATGAGCTAGCTTGCTATCCTTCTCTTCCCTCTCTCCTCCTTGCAACTGGCATGTGCTCTTAGCAGCAAGCCATGTGATGCCCCACCAATCCTGGAGGACCCAAGTTGAAAGGATCTTGGTCCCTGAATGACATGGCAGAGCAAAGCTGCCCTGTCCCACTGACTTGTCCTCTGCAGACTGTTGTGTGAGAGACTTCTGTGACAGACTTCTTTCAAGTCGCTATATTGTAGATCTCTTTGATACAGCCCTTAGCCTTTGTCTTAACGCACCTGCCCTCATGTGTCCTAATCCTTCAGGCTGTCCCAACTTGCTTACTTGGTAAGCTCCACTTCATCACTTTTGCAAAAGGCCACGACTCTCGCAGGACCCAGCAGAATTAATCCTTTCTTGCCTGTGCTCTCCATAGCACATTTACTTGATGACATCGCTAATACCAGACCACTGTCATTTGATTTTTAATTTGTTCCATGGTCTGTTCCATGACCATACTCCTCCAACAGAAAGATGAGTACCATTTTTTTGAGAGACAGAGAGCATGGGAGAGGGGCAGAGGGAAGGAGGGGCGGAGAGAGAGAGGGAGAGAGAGAGAGAGAGAGAGAGAGAAAGAGAGAGAGAGAGAGAATATCTTATGCAGGCTCTATGCTGAGTAAAGAGCCCAATGCAGGGTTCAATCCCATGACCCTGGGATCATGACTTGAGATGAAATCAAGAGTTGGACACTCAAGCAACTGAGAACCCAGGCATCCCAGAAAGGTGAGCAACATTTTAAACTTTATCTTTGAATCTTCACACCAAAGTTTAGCATGTGGTAGGAGGCCAATATGATTTCAAAGGTAAATGAGTAATGTCTCATCTCCTCATCTTCTAGCTTAGCAGTAAAGAGCATTTGAAAGGTTAAGGAACAGAAGACAGA